GCTTCCTGGACTCCCCGATCTCCCAGGCCGGCCTATTCGGCGAAACGGTGGAGGAATCTGCCCAACAGTTCTCCGCCGCACAGAAGCAGATTAAGGCGTCTCGACACATTCTGCTCCGGCGGTTGGCTGCTGTAGCCACCCCACCGCCAGCTGCAGCCCCTCTGTCTGCTCGTCGCCGAGAGCGCCCTTCAGTGGCCTCCATCTCCGCTCTAGCTCGGCCGCAGCAGCAGCCTTCACAACGGCCGCAGCGTGGAGCTGGCCGCAGGAAAGCGGCGCAGCCCGTCTCCGCCCCTGCCAAGCCCGTGAAGCGCCAGGGCGGGCGGCGTCCCTGGGACGGGCGACCCGGGGTTCTTGGATCCAGCTCTTCAGGAGATGGTGACCGCACCACTCCTTCCCCCGGCGGAGGGCCGGGTGGAGAAACCTTTGTTCCTGGGGTTTTCTGTTCCGCCGCTGGCTACCCAGCCAGTGGTGCCCAAAACCTCAACAGAAGAGCGGGTTCCTTTTTCTCCGGGTTCCAAGAGGGCGAGGATGTGTGCGAGACCCAGTCTCCACATGGCCGTCCACCTCTTCCTTCGCCAATGGGCAGCAGGGTTCAGTTCAAGGACTCTATGCCTCATCACGAGCCCCCTGCCCAGCCGTGGAGCCAGGTAAGTGGCGCGCCGCGCACTCAGACCCCACCCTGGGACGCACGGAAGCCTCCCGGGTTGGGTCCATGTGTTCCACTGTGCTGCCCCACTGCGGGTACGTCGGTGGTTTCCCTAGTCCCGCCTGTTCGGTCGCTGGGGGCCTGGTTAGCGTGCCCCAGGCCGTCTCGCTGGCTCACCCGAGATGGGCATGGCGACACAGCACTTACCGGGTTTCTGTTACCCCGTTCTGCCGGCAGACCCTCAGTCCGTGGGCAGATCTTACCTTTCTTCGGACAGGGGTGTCCCTTGGACAAGTATCCAGGCATGTTGTTGTGTCAACAGATGCCTCTGCCAGGGGCTGAGGTATCTCGGTCAAGATCCCAATTCGTCAGTCACGACTGACGTAACGTCTCCATTCCCTCCTTCAGGGAACGAGGGTTACACAAGTAACCTAGATGTTATTTGTTATTATTTTCTTTAAGCAAAATATAATTTAGTTCTTTCTAATTTTGAGGTAAAATATGACAAAATATGATTTATAAAACGAATAGTTCCGGTCCTTGATTCTGATTGGTTGAGCCAAGTTCGAAGCTGTTGAAAATGACTCTACAAACATACACCTTTGTTTACATTTGTGTGTTGCTCGGCAAGCACTTTGTTGGAACCAGAGCCGTTGAGAACCACAACCGTATCTGAGGAACTGCATTGTTTGACGGAAGAATAATGTTTTCATTAATATCATTGCACTTTACTTTCTCTGTTTTATTCTGTGAAACCTTACTGCATATATGGAATAACCGTTTTATAAAAGCATATATTTTTTAGCATAAATATCCGCTTCGCGTCGTGCCTAACAATGCCCCTTAGCTGTTATAAATTCACTGTAAACCACGGCTTCTTGGAGCTTATTGCTTTATTTTAGGTAAAGTATGTTTCATCAGATTCACAAATTTGTTTATACACAATTAATGTGAACCATAGTGGTTGACCAATTCACTGCACTTCTACCCACTTCAGTTTCCATTGTACTAAAACAATTCTTATTCTTTCTTCCAAAAAACTATCAAATGAAAACAGTAAAAAGATCATCTTAAAGAGAAACACACTTGTTCATTGTAGCTGGGTGCCTACTTGAAAATCTTTGCATAAATAGCAAAAGAATCTCAGCTTTAACACATGGTGAATCACAGCAATGCAGCTTTTTGTCCAACCAGCCTGTGTTGGTGAATTTTAAGATCTCTTTCCTTCTCTTTTGGACCTGGACAGGATCCAGCGCCTCTGAGTTGTCGATTCAGTGCACTGCAGAGGGCATTATGCTTCAGTGCCATATGAAATATTACACCGGGGAGATGAAGATCCATTGGAAACAAAAGTATGCACATTTTCCACTCTCACTTGAAACGATTTCCTAGAATAAAAACAGATACACAAATACCCTTGCAAATGCATGTCCCCAGGCATGACAACGACTCTACATGTAAACATGATTTTCAGATTTTGGCCTATAGTTTTGTGTTGGTTCAGTGTGAGGTGTACAAAATAAATGATTATTGAACTACAGGAAATTACAAGAATAAAGAGTCTGTCTTGTTCCTCGCTCTGTTGTCGACACAAAACAAATCATTCTGATTGCAGTTGCCTAATGCTCTGCCCTGGAGGTGACTCAGTAGCATGTGAAATTCTACCGTAGTGAGAAAAGCCTCTTCTTGCTCGCATGGCTTCTCAAATCCCTGTATTAGCATTTTGAAGTGGCTGTTCTGGGTCTTTCCTCCCCCTGTTGCAAGTTTTGAATCACACGCAGAGCAGGTATTAATGTAGGGGAAATTTCACATTCAGTCGCAACACAAAAAAACACCCACCGTGTCTAATTTTACACTAGGGACATGCTAATTTTATGCCCCACTTGAAAAAAAGGCATGTCTAACGTTTTGAGACCATTTACTCTATGGAAAATGAGCAAACAATTGAGCTTAAAAAGGGATTGTGATTAAATATGCCTTCGTTATAACATGTTAAAAGCATGCATGTGATTGTATTGGTTTTGTCATTCTCTCAGTGATGAATAGATAATAATGGGTTTCTTTGCATTCATTTACTCTGTACTTCAAGGGATTCTAAAATTGCTGCATCAGAAAGGATGAGAATTGGTGGCAACCCAGCAATGGCAACTTTGGAGATGGTAGAACCGACTGATAAGGATAAAGGAATGTACACTATTGAGATTGTGGATCCCGAGAAGACGCATTCTCGTACCCTGGACCTCTCCGGACAACGTGAGTTGTAAAAACAAACCTATAGAATTCATCCCATGTGTTGACTAAAGACACCTACATTTACCAGCTATGACACACTTAAATAAATTAGGTGAAGTCTAAATAACATTCATCAATACATTATACTAGTAATTATTTCTAAAAACGGATTAATACAAATTGTTGTTGTACACTTATAATACCTTCTGAAGCTAGTGTAGCAAACATTTGCAGTGAACAAGTAAGAAGTTACTTGTCACTGCATTAATGCTAATGCAATTATTGCTTACTGAATGCAGCAACATACACTATCAACTTAATTCACTTAACTACAAGCGCCAATCTTCAGCACAATGGTAACCACAAGAACATTTAACAGGTCTTTCTCTTTAGTCTGATCCAGCCCTATGCAAAGTGTGTTGAAAACTAAAAATCCACTGCCTAGTTACAAAAAATTATTTTGGTAGTACCAACCAAGTTAAGCAAACTTCAGATGTACGTATTTAAGTAGATTGGATTTAATCAAATTAAGGAAAAACAAAATGTTCAGCAATTATGTCACTTCATTAAGCTCATTTTAACAAATCAGAAAAAAGTAAACCGTGTAAATACTGACAATTCTGACTATTTCAAAAGGTATTAAGAGTTGACCATAAATAGGTCATGCTGTAACCTTCTAGACAAAACAAAACGTCCTCCTCGTTTAATTTTAATGGTCAGAAAGAGGGTTGTAAATAGTCACAGGAAAGTTATAAGTTATAAGTTAAGTTATAACTGTTTTGGCATAAAACAACCTTGACTAAACATTATAATTGGACCTGGTTTAAAGGGGAGCATTGTGAAAAGATCCCAATTACATCTGAACTTAATTGAGTATCAAGTGAAATCCTTCAACAACAGCTCAAACAGTTTTAACCTCACTACCAGAATCAGCATTAATGAGAAAAACACATCAATGCTGGAGGTGATGGCAAGACTGTCATGTGAAGTGTTTTTGTCTATTTTTAAAGGCTTTTTTTCCACTCCAAAAAACACTACACCACAAGAGTTATAACAAAGATGGTCAACTCAAACTCGTGTTCTGGCGTTGATCCTGTGTAGACGTGTTTATAATTGGAAGTAAAGGCCAGTGTTGCAGCTGTACACACAGGAAATGTATTTAGGGAATTTCAGGGATGAAAAAAAACACTGTCATGGTATCAAAGGTGCAGATACTGGCAGCGGTTTCAGTTAGTCAACAGACTGTTTGATGACAAACATAATCAAGGGCTGGTATCTGACAGGTCATGCGATTTGCCGAATGGTGACAGTAATGAGTAGGGGAAGAAGAGCTATTTCCAGCGAAGCAGGAAAACAATGCTATTAAAATAATGAGAGCTGATTTTCTTTTTATGCCATGCCTCCGGGACAAGACATGGCGAATAGAGAGACAGTGCTGTTTTCCTTTTTTAAAAAATTGTATTCATGTTTTATATGCTCTTAACTTTTTTCTTCTTTTCTTTTCTTGATCCTCCCCCCCCCCCCCCCCCCCCCCCCCCCCCCCCCGCTCCCACCACGCCCCCTCCAAACAGAATTCCAGAGACTCAAGTAAGATAACCAGTGCATCAGACCACCACATGGCTTTCCACATCCTAAATGTTTAGAGATGCAAAGCATGTGAGCTGTACATCAGTGTTTGGGTAAAATATTAATGTCTGCTAATGAACTCAACATTGCTATTCTTCTTTTGCCCTTCAGAGCGGAAGCATATGCTGAAAAGTGTGAGTATACTCAATCACTCCTGACACTCTCGGGGGTCCTGCTTTGATATGTAATTATATTCCTAAAATTAACTTTGTGATGTTTTCATTGTCAGATCGTGGCAAAGTGGTTGGTGGTCTTCCTGATGTTGTGACTATCATGGAAAAGAAGGTTTGTTTAAGCTTGTTATGTGCGAGCCATAACGTAGTGAAAGATAGATCACAATGCATAAAGAAATTTAATTTTCTGATCTGACTTCTCTTTGAAGAAAACCATATCGAAAAGACCGCAATATATATATACAGTATTTACTAACAATATGTATATATAACACTATTTATAACACTAACAAATTAAAACCACAGAGCAACGCAAATAAGAATAGAAATTTTGTTGTGACCAAAAAAAAATTACCAAATCTAATATTTGAGCTTCTTCAAAGTTATCACCCATTGTCTAGATTCCAGCTCTGCTTATTCTGGACGTTCTCTAACTGAAGGTGGAATTCTTTTTAAACAAATTTCACAAAGTTCACATGTATGCTCACTATCTGCTCCAACTCATCCAATAAAAACGGGTTTGTGAAGTTGGCACAATTTATATTTGTCTATAAACCTAATTTCAGGAATTCAGGCAAAAGCCTTTAGATCAAAAGGTTTTTAAGATCATAAGAAACTAATTCAGCTAAGTGTGTCCAAACTTTTACTCCGCCAAACGTTGTCTATCCAAACTTGGCTTGAGGTTAGCGTGGTACAATAGCTTACTGACCTTGTCTATCTGAAGTTGCAACCAATCTTTCAACTGCAATGTTTTGACCACACCAGTAAAGCTGCTAAACTCAGTAAACGCAGGCATTTTTGCATTACGGAATAGCCTGAAATGGACTTTTTACATAAAGCAAACTGAAATAACTACTAATTAACTACTAACTAATTAGTCCCGTAGACTTCCGGTGACTTACGAAGACCCATAGACTTCCGGTGACTTACGAAGTCTTACTGTAAAACTAAAGTTAATCTACCTAGAAAAGTAGTCACATATCAAAAGGATGTTTTAGATATATTTATGCAAATTACAGTAAATAATTGAATTTTACTGAATAATTCTTGTAAGTGCCAGATTAAAATTATGGGTGACTTTAATTTAGGGACCAATTCTCTCTATTAACTAGTTGCTTATTATCATGCATATTACTCATCATATTGGCTGTTTATTAGCACATATTATTGCCTTATTCTGCATGACCATATTTTAGATCCCTTAATCCTGCCTCACACCTAAATTTAAGTAGCAAATTAGGAGTTTATTGAGGCAAAAGTCATAGTTAATAGTTAGATAATAGTGATAACTGTTCCCCAAACTAAAGTGTGACTGAATTATGCACTTCACGTTTCTGCTTAGAAACCCCCAGAACATCGGCCCCCATAGACATCCATTGAAAATGCTTTACTGTACCCAAGGCTTTTGTTTGCTATTAGAAACTGAGCAATGAGACAACATTATTTTTCTGTGGTAATCAACATTATGCCTCAAATGTTGTCAATGGACCTAAACTTGTATTGCACCCAGAGCATACATTTTAGTCACCCATGGAGAGCTGTAGCCAATGCATTAGTGATCAGTATTGCTGCAGGCAGTCGTGCCGGTGAGTGCTGTTTTGCAGCTCTTCACTTCAGCCCTGGGAGTGTGCGCTGGAGGGCGTCATACTCCTCCACTCCCTGAGATCCATGTCCATTGTCTTCAGCCTCATAATCCATTGCTTGCAAGCAGCATGAAGCCAGCTTGGGGAATATGGTGTATTCTGCCAGTGAAAGGATGTTGGTGGGATTAGGATTCGCCTGAGTAGTTGATGCTGGAAACGCCCGGCATCCTTTTCTCTTTCAGATCAAATAAACATAGCAGGTCAGTGGCTCTATGGATCCATTAAAGCAAACATGAGGTGAACTCGTGTGGGAGAGGAAACCTTTCACATGATGATCTGCTGAGGTCACGTACACAGTGGGTTTCCAGTGAGAGCTCCCCGCCGCAGGGCTTCGTACTGTATATCTGAGTTTTCATTGAGATGCTCTTCTCCCTAAAAAGCCCAAACGAGTCACTTTGTTGAAATCCATTACTGTGAAAAAAATTAAACTGTGGCAGAATAGAAGCAGCATCTAAAAACAGCATTAGATTTATGTTGTCATGTTGAGGCCAGAAAACATTCTACAGAAATCAGTTTCTCACTGTTTAAATACAAATTATTTAAAAGGGTTATTCATGTTCTGCAGTACATTTTACATGTATTTATTTATGCGGTAATTTAAGGAAATGGCCCTGGACCCTGGGTCTTAAGTCGCATGAGTATATTTGTAGCAATAGACAACAATACATTGTATGGGTCAAAAGGATTAATTAATGATTCATTATTTTATTTTATGCCAAAAATCATTAGGATATTCAGTAAAGATCATGTTCCATGAAGATATATAGGAAATTTCCTACCGTAAATATATCAAAACATAATTTTTGGTTAGTAATATGCTAAGGACTTCATTTGGACAACTTTAAAGGTGGTTTTCTCAAAACTGTGATTTTTTTTTACACCCTCAGATTCCAGATTTTCAAATAGTTGTATCTCGGCCAAATATTGTCCTATCCTAACAAACCATACATAAATGGGAAGCTTATTTATTCAAACAATGTACCCTTATGACTGGTTTTTGTGGTACAGGGTCATATATATAATTTACACATGTACATTTTTTTGCATATAAGTATATTTAAATACAAATATTTTATATAAATGTATTCTAATAATAATTGTTAAAGAAAGATACATAGGATTTTTAGTTACCATTGCACCATAAGAATATCATATTATTATTCAGAATTATGTGCATCTGCTTAACGTAATCATGCGTTTCTCATATTTATGCCTGTAGCATGATAATGACAACCTACTTCCTCTGAGAATGCTTTTAGATTAAATATGCGTTTTGCATTTGTTTTTTCCTTTTCTTCAGACTCTGAGTCTGACCTGCACAGTCTGCGGTGACCCCAAACCTCTGGTCAGCTGGTCTAAGACTGATCAAGAGGTAGAACCCAGTGATCAGTACGTCATTGCCATGGACTCGGGCAAGTTCGCCAGCCTCACTATCAAAGGTGTGTCCCTGGAGGACTCCGGCAAATACACCATGACGGTCCAAAACAAGTACGGTGGCGAGTCTGTGGACATCATCGTCAGCGTGTACAAACACGGCGACAGGGTTCCGGACATCAAACCCACACCCTCACCCAAGAGGATCATGCCTCCCACGGTTCCCATCGTAGTTCCCACTGCCAAGTCTGCCACCCCTGCCCCTGCTGCAGCCAAGTCGCCGGCTCCTCCCCAAAATGCCAAATCCTCTGCTCCGCCCCGTGGCATGAAGTCCCCCACTCCCACCAGGAAGAAGTAACAGCATAGCCCTTGCCGCTCGTTCACCCCAACGGCACAAAAACAACTAGATTTACATTTCCGGTCGGAAATATCAGTGTTTGCAAGGCAGCAAAAGAAGTTTGGGTATAGGTTTTGGTTCATGTCTTGTTTTCTTCCAGCTGTAGACAGTCTATCAACAAAATCAACATAGTTTATTATATGGCTATAAAGGAGTAATGGTGCTTTTTTTCTGATTTAAAAAATCTTTGTAATCGGGATATGCAGACAATATAAATAATTTGTAGGTTGATTCCCCTAAAAAGTAAAAAACATTAGCTGCATGGATACGTTTTCTATGTTTATTTAAGCTTTGATTTGAACGAAAACAATGTATCCATGTGGTGCGGCTAACACAGAACAGCATACACTGTTTGCGTTCAGTGGACACTCTCCAAAATGTTGCTACGGTGACGCGGAGGAGACGAATTGTTGAATAAAGTCGTTTTTTGTTTTCTTCGCGTACAAAAAGTATTCTCGTAGTTTCGTAAAATTATGGTTGAACCGCTGATGTCACATGGATTATTTTACCGATCTCCTTGCTACGCTTCTGGACTTTGATCGTGCTACGTACATTGCTCTCTATGGAGGGTCAGAGAGCTCTCAGAATGCATCAAAAATATCTTAATTTGTGTTCCGAAGATGAACGGAGGTCTTACGGGTTTGGAACGACATGAGGGTGAGTGTCACGAATTCGGTCCATGGACTTCCGTTTATTCACCCCCAGAGGTCGCCCTTTCCATTTCATTGACTCTTGCACAACACAAACTGTTGCATAGCACCCTGGACTACATATCCCATCATTCATTGCACTCAGCACGGATTGCACCCTGCTGTTTTCACTGATTGCACACAGCTGTTTCACATCACTCACTCACTATATATCACTCACTCAAACTACCATTCACTGCCGAGTATTACCTCACCTGTTAGTTTTCCTAGTTCCTGTTATCCTTCCCGTGTTTCCTTGTTTTGCCTTGCCTTGTCAGTTTTCTCGGTTCTGATCTTTGCCTGTCTCCCTGGATTTATCCCTCTAGTCTCGCCCCTGTGATTCTGTCTGCCGATCGTCGACCTACGCTAGCCCTAGGACCATTCTTGTGTTTTGCCCGCCATATACCTCTCTGCCATTATCTGACCCATGCCTGTTTTATGACCACGTCTCTGTCTTCTCCTAATAAAGAGCTTGCATATGAATCCGCACGTCTCACGTCTTGTCAGCCCCGTTACAGTGAGTTATTAATGACAACATTTTCATTTTGGGGTGGAGTAAATATTTAACACCCTTTAAATACAGCAAGGAAGACAAGACCAGTTGCAATTCAGTATGCAAATAAAACTCTGCAAGTAAGTCAGAAATTGGCTGAAAATTATCTACACAATGTCTGTACAATTGGCAGTTTGTGCTGAACAAATTGCAGAAAGATTTAGGTTTGAGAACAAAGCCTTAGGGATTCGCCGTTATTACATTTCTGCCTGATACCAATAAGCTGAAAATTATTTTGATGTTACAGCTAATAACCAATAAATAATTGATAATACAATTGTATTTTGTACAACGAATAAACACACAAATAAAATCAACAGTTTAACAAATTAATTTAGGCATCATCATATTATAAATTAAAATAAAGACTAAATTATTAGTGCGCAATTAGTAAATTAAGTGAGCATTAGAAAATGGCAAAGTTATTCTAAACATAAAAATTAGTCTGAAGAAAACGTGCACAAACAATATCCAGTATTGATCAAAACCAAAAAACGTAGAAATCTGTAAAATCAACAGACATATTATGCATCGCTCAAACCCAAACCAGAATATTTTAGGAATATCAATATAATGCCGCCTTGCAAACACTGTAATTAAACTATAGCGCATAAATCAGTGAATAAAGAAAGTAGAATTGAAAAGTATGTAGTATTTTTCACCCCAAATGCATCATCGTATCATAAAATGAGCAAGCATCTAACATGAAAAGAAAGCGAGTAGGAAGTATGTGTGAGGAAGGGTGGGGCAAGTTATATTTAGTGCCAGGAGAAAATTTGTGAAACAGTTTGTCATCTGGGTTGCCTAAGCTGAGTGGGCCTCTAATGAATTTGGCTCCCTCTCCCCTGAGGTGCTTGGGGGAAAAGCTTTGATGTTAGTTTATTAAATCTCTGTTTAAAAGCTGCTCTTTCAGTTAGCCACTGGAATCCAGAGGCTTTTTTTTTTGCTTTCTCTGGTGGATGGATGGCCTGAGAGTGCAAGACCTCCACTTAGCCCCCAGCGGTAGCCACAAGACCTCGTCAACCTCGTCTCACATCCTAGCCTTTTTCTCTTGGTTTTGTGCTAATAAAAGAGTTGGAAATCACTACCATGTCGTCCCTGCCTTTGCATCGTGCACAAACACACACACACACACACACACATGCTGATAGTAAAATATGAATGTGATTACAGAAGCTACTGGCCAATCTGAAACGCATCAGCACTTTTCTTCGGCTCTTGGGCCAGTTGTACTTCACAAATCATTTCATGTATATGGAACACCTAGCTTGAGGTGCTTTGCTGCCAAGAATGCAACACTACCCTCTAATTCACAAAGCATGACTTGGCAATTTGGGTTGCCTGGCAAATCTCCAATCAGAATCACTTTTACCTCTTTTGAAATAAATGCATTTGGTTTACAGCGACCACAAAGTGAAACTCTAAAAAACATTCTTTGTTGTGCTAGATCTTTTCTCTTCACTTTACGTCATCAGTTTTGTTCAGTGACTTCTAATTACTGGCGTGCCAGTGATTTTTAGTGGATGTATGAAGTCTGTTCTCCTCAAGTTCACACAGGTGTACTGTCCCATAGGAAAGAAAAATCAAAAGTGAGATCTCTTTAGCATCTCAAATATTTCTCCTAGACAGAAATGAGGTTACTTTAAGATTGAATGGAGATTTTTGCTTGAGTCTCCTGCTTCTCAAACTTGTTTCCTGAGACAAAAACTCTAACACTCTCACAGTGGTCTCCTTTAAAGTTTTAGAAGAGATCTCAACAACATCACACACTGCTCAGATTTTTCTCCTTAACTAGAGACACTGGATCTTTCACATTTGTCTCTTTTAAAGCTTTAGAAGAGATCTCAACAACATCACACACTGCTCAGATTTTTCTCCTTAACTAGAGACACTGGATCTTTCACATTTGTCTCTTTTAAAGCTTTAGAAGAGATCTCAACAACATCACACACTGCTCAGATTTTTCTCCTTAACTAGAGACACTGGATCTTTCACATTTGTCTCTTTTAAAGCTTTAGAAGAGATCTCAACAACATCACACACTGCTCAGATTTTTCTCCTTAACTAGAGACACTGGATCTTTCACATTTGTCTCTTTTAAAGCTTTAGAAGAGATCTCAACAACATCCCACACTGTGCTCAGATTTTTCTCTTTAGCTAAATAATCTGAGGGTCTCATATTTGTCTCCTGTAACACTTTATAAGAGATCTCAACAACTTTACAAAGTGTGCATCAAGTCAAGAACTTGAAAGGCACTAAATAAAGGGGGAAATCATAAATTCAAAGTTAAAGGCTATATTGAGAGAGGAATTTTGCAGAAATAAGGATAATGTTACTTTTTTTGAGACAATGTGTATGTACTTTTGCACATAATTTGTTGTTGGAAATAGTAATGTACCAGATGCCTTAATCAAAACTGATTTACAGAAAATGTAACAGTGGAGCTTTCTTTGCTGAAAAGCTTGCCTTGATTATTAATTTACTAATTTGATTATTAATACATATTATATGGTAGAAATGTTTGAGGTCATATTGAGGCATTTGACTTGGTGCACACTTTGTAAAGCTATTGAGATCACATCTGAAATTTAGAGGAGACAAATGTGAGCACAGTGTGTGATGTTGTTGAGATCTATTCTAAACTTTTGAGGAGACAAATGTGAGAGATCCAGTGTCTCTAGTTAAGGAGAAAAATCTGAGCACAGTGTGTGATGTTGTTGAGATCTCTTCTAAAGATTTAAAAGAGACAAATGTGAGAGATCCAGTGTCTCTAGCTAAGGAGAAAAATCTGAGCACAGTGTGTGATGTTGTTGAGATCTCTTCTAAAGCTTTAAAGAAGACCATTGTGAGAGTGTTAGTTTTTGTCTCAGGAGACAAGTTTGAGAAGCAGGAGACTCAAGCAAAAGTTTCCATTCAAGGTAACCTTAAAGTAACCTCATTTCTGTCTAGGAGAAATATTTGAAATGGTAAATAGATATTTTTTATTTTATTTTTCTTACCTCTGGTTAGCTTCAATGCCATTTATCTACACCATTTCAATCAAAGACAATACATTCATTGTCATATTTGAATTTGTTTTATGTAGATAGTGTTTTATTGCACAGTGATATAACATACATGCAAAATATGGGCTGTATAAGACAACATTTTAACACTAAACAAAGCAACAAAAAAAAAAGCCCTGGTACACTAGTGTTACATTTGTTAAAAAAAGGTATTGCTCTTATACTAAACATCTTGCACTTGTACGTCCTTTCTAGTGTGTTTGCTGGACATTGAAGATACATTTAAAAAATTTAACTAGTAGCCCTTGATATTCTGAAATGTTTAATGCTATTTAAACTACTATTTAAATTATATTAATAAATAATCATTTAAATGACATTTTTAGTATTTACAATATTAGTAAAAGTTTAACGTTTCTCCTAAAATAAAACTGAAGACATCTTAAGACAAAGCTGATATCTCAGTGAGACATATAAGAGAATCACCCCTTAGTCTCCTGAGCGCAGAGTAACCTCAGTCCGAGTCAGAGCCATAGCCTTGCGGGCAGCACATCGATGTGAAGCACAACTGCAGCATGAGTTTGAATCCCAGCGAAAGGTACTTTCCTGCTCCTGTCCAATTGTTTTCTGTCTCTGTCCTGACCATTAAAGGTGAAAAACCCCATTGCAATAAAAAAGCAACCTCTGAGCAGTAAAACGTTTTTATAATGGAGTTTTGCAAGAGATTACAGCAAGACAATAAAGAGATCTCCCATGTTTCTCACACGTTTCTCTCCCATTGTCATTTTGGATTCCTTTCTTTCAGAACTTTCTCATGTCTCAGTTGTGTCTACTTTTATTTCTCCTAAGGATTTTTAGAATATCTCTTTATTGTCTTGCTGCAATCTCTGTTTCTTCCACCACATTCTCTGTTTTGACTCTTTTTTTATCCAATATTTCTCATGTCTCATTTGTGTCTACAATTTCTCCTAAGGAATTTTAGGAGAAACATCTGAAATGCTGTTGATACTAAAATGAGAGAATCTCATCTAAGTCTCCTGAGCTTAGGAAAACCAACCACTGAGCAGTACATTTTTCCTATGGGGTAATTCATCACAGTAAATA